GGGCAGTGGGAAATTGGAACACAAACCAAGCAGCAGCAACCAAAGCTGGTCCACAATTCCCTCTGCCCAGGATTTTTTAAGTGGCACCAAAACCCCAACACGTGAGAGCCCAGGAATTCAGAGTCCCCTGCAGAAACCTGGCTGAGTGACACACAGCTGCTCCTGACTGGACAGCTCCATAAAACTGCTGAGGAATTATCCCCTTGCTGCTTTAGTTTGCTCTTTGCAAAATTACTTCATTTTAAGCCTGGAGCCAAAGCTGCTTGCCCACAAACTGTTACAATACCCATCCCTTCTGCTCCCTGACCTCAGGGGCACTGGGAGGGCACCCACCTGTAGGGCCAAGCCTTTAAAGAGAGCTCTGGTGATGTTAATCAAGTTTTTGGATCCTGTGACCTTGGCATACATGTCCTTGATGCCAATCAGCCTGCAGATGGTGATAATGGCTCGGTGACAGCGGAGACCATACCCTGGGGAAAAAAAAGAAAACCAAAACAACCCAAAATTAGCATTATGGGATTATTTGTAAGCACACAACTTACTCAGAAGAAGTACTAAGATCTCTTCTTTGTTATTTTTGTTACTTAGAACACATTAGATGTTAAAAATGGCTCCAGGGGCTGTGCAGAGGCATCCCTTCCCTTTTCCTGGTCCAGCAACTGGAATGAATTACACTTTTTAGTGTAATTCTGTAATTTTAGTGGCACAGAGTGAAGGAGAGACAAACTTATTTCAAAATCCATGAACACCACAGAGGTTTTTGTGTCATCTGCATCCGTCTCCACCACAGAGATGGAGATTCAGCTCCAGTGCACAACTGTAGCACATTGGCATTGATTGCAAATTGTTTCTTAGACTTGCCAGGTTTAAAGGGAAGAGTTATTTTTTTAAGGAGTCTAATTTTGCTCCAGAGAGGTTTGTTTCACATCACTCTAGTGATCTTTGAAAACTGCAGGACAGTCTTGCTGCTGCAGAGTGAAGGAGATAAAAAAATACATCCTGGGGGTCAAATGGCTGGAAAGCAGCAGAAAAGGGCTGTTTATGGAACATTTAAGGAATGTTTATTTTAGTGAGGTTATCTGCCTGCAGAATTTGTCAATTAGGAAATTGAAGGGAAAAGAGGAAACCAGAAACCACATATACGAGACACAGATCTGAAAAAAAAAAAAACCCCAAAAGACAAGGGAAAGAAGAACAAAACACCCCCACTAACTGATGAGCTATCAGGACATTTCAGGTGGCACTTCCAGGAAGATCAAACTGACTTCAGAACCTGTAAAAACTGTAAAGAAAGGGAGATCTGGACTGGGAGGGGGGAGAGAATTTATATGTCTATATTCCAGTGGCTGGAGCAGGACCAGGTTCACATTTAGGTAATTTAGAACTGAAGGAACTCAATTTAGGAAGCGTGAAAGAGTGTGAAAAGGACAAATCCCAATTTGCAATAGCAAAGCCATGTCATCAGCAGCAGGCATTTCTAATGAAAAATGACTGATCACATTCAACATTTAAAACTACACACTACACAAGTTTAACTCACATCAAATAAATACCAGCCAGCAATTAATGAAACTTCAGAATTTCCAGGCAGCTTTAATTACCTTTGTTTTGCTTCTTCATGCGGATATTTGTCCTTTTAAATTTCACTGAAATGTCGTGGTAAACTGGAGGGAAAAAAAAAAAAAGGCATTACAGATAAATTATTCCTTTTAGAAAAGCTTCAGCTTTCTTTTTTTTGTACTGTGAATGGCAAGTTGGTTTTACTCTCTCCTGACTTTTTAAAGAGAAGGGTTAACCCACGTAAATTTCTGGAATAGATTATGAATGCTGAAATATCTGTGAATACTATATTGCTATTGAAAAATAGGTAGGTGTGCCYCCAATGAGCCTCATTTAGTTTTGARCTAAACTCACATGATACAATTTAACTCACATTTTTTAATGAACCAGCTTTTAACCTAAGATTTCTCCACAGGCATCAGCATTCTTGGATTTTCCAAAAATATATTGACAAGAAACTACCAGGAAACATCAGGCTGTGAATAAAAACCCCAGTTTTTTTTTCCCTGGCTGCTGGGCTTTGCCAGCATATGTGGATTGAGGCACCAGGGAATCATCTCCTCTGACACAGAGAGAACAAAAGCACAGGAGTTCAGTGCAGAGAAAAATGCCCCAACATTATCTGACCTTCTTAACTCAAACTGTGCCAGTGAAGATCTAATTTTGCTAACAAGAGCCTGAAATACCATGCATTAAGTATCCAAATTTGAAGCACAGAACCATGGAATTGTTGTTTGGGTTGGAAGGGACCTTTTAAAGGTCAGCTGCTCCAACCTCTCTACCATGAGCAGGGACACCTTCAACTAGACCAGCTTGTCAAAAATTATAATGCATCAGATCAGAAAAAAAAAATTATTTAATTTTTTTTATGCTCTGCAAGTGGCTGCAACCAGTTTTTGTTGGTGTATTCAGTGGTTATAGTGAAAGCATGATACTCACTTGTGTGGTTCTGATACAGCTCTACAAACTGTAAGGAGCTTATTGCTTTATTCTTTGCCTGGGGGAAAAAAAGCAGAAAACACTTTTTCTCCTCGAATTTTTCTATTAAGCACTTGCAAATTACCATTATTTAGTTAACAAGATAGAAAAAAAAGAAAAAACACAATTTAGGAAAACAGATTAGCCGCGTCTAAACTCTATGGAAATGAAAATGTTTAGTTTGGAGGAGGCTTAGGGGAAACCTTACTGCTCTCTACAGACACCTGAAACAAGGCTGAGGTGGGGGTCAGTCTCTTTTCCCAAAYAGGAAATGATAGGATGAGWGGMAACTGCCTCTTAAAGGRCTTTTCTGACCTAAATCATTCTAGGATTATCTGACTACAAATTATACTGTCAGAAAAAAAAACCCATAAATAAATGTAGGTACGAATTATTTGTCATCAAGCAAAAAATATTCAATCAACATACCTTCCTTAAAGCATTCATCCTGTCTCCTGCCTTCCCCGTTGCAAAACCTGCAAGAGAAGTCAGAGAAAGTAATTTTATTGTTGAGAAACAGACGATGCAGGATCTTCAGAAAGAAAAGTGAAAAAAACCCCCAGAGAACTTCACAGCCACGTTTAGCATTTAAATTTCCACTCCACTGCACAGATCATACTCAGAAAATCAGAGATAAACTCAGTTTAGGAGTTATGAACACCAAACACCTGGATGCCAACTGCTTGTTGTCAAAGGAAATGAATTAGGCTCAAATTGATTTTGTGTGTTTGACCAAATATCGTTTCAAACAACTGAACAGTGGTGACTGCTTCAGATTAAAAAAATCATCTGTTCTGTTTAAAAAGAAAGGAGTGAGTGAAGAAAAAAAGCCTAGGACAACTTCAATCCAATCATCCAGGACATGTGGATTGCAGTGATAACATGTTCCATGAGAAACCTTTCCAAAGAGGTAGGAAGAGTTTTTCAGAGTCACACATCTTTCTGCAAGGCAACCACACCTTCCTCTGTGTGTAAATCTTCCTTCACTTCAATGTGCAATCAAAATTCAGCTTGAGGAACACACGTGGCCTTGAATCTTTCACATAAACAAAAGTTCTGCACAACTCTGGTTGACCATAAATACAGCTGTCTTATTAAAGCTCCTGTAAAAATCCCACCATCAGATGTCTCCTTGTATATACCATAAATGCACATACCTGCAGCCCCTTTACCATTTCCAACAGCCACCAAGGCACGTACTGATTTTTTTCTGCCTTCCTTTGCCTTCATACAAAACACATTTCTCACCTGAAGAAAAAAAAACCAAAACAACACAAAGGTTCTTGTTACTGCACAGACCAAATGTTTTGGGGTTTGTTTGTTATTTTTTTGAAGATTTGGGCTCGATGATCCTGATGGGTCACTTCCAACTCAGAATTTTATGAATACACAGAATATTATGTCTGATTCTATGATTCCATAAGCAAGTCACTGCTTTACAGTCCCCCACCTTACATGGTCTAATAAATCCTGATGTGGACAAGGGACAGGTGGAGGAGAGAGCATGCTCTGGGAAAAGAGAGAACAACTTGACCTGAAGAATGCAGAATGTGGCAAAAGGTCACTGAAATGATGAGATAAAGGGAAGAGACTGGTTACCTGTCAGCCCAAACCAGCTTTGGACTGCTGGGGTTTGGAAATATTTGGAATTGTGGCCTTTGGTGAACCTGGCTCATTTTGATGTGAAAACCACACCTCTGAAGCTGCCTCTGAGTGGAGAACCCTAATGCTGAACGTGAATTTTGAAAATGCTGCACCCTTAAATCCAGGTGAGACACAGGCAAGCAAGGAGTAGCTCAGCCAGGCAGTGATATAGATTCATTACATAGAGCTGTAAATAATCAAACTATAAATATGCTTGTATTTCTGGCCTTTGGTGTGCTAACTTAACTCACAGCACCCCTTTTGGAGCAGAACTATAAATAAATCAAAYAGCTCAACTCTGTGTGGATCRGCCTCTTGCACACTGGGTGAGAGAACTCAATTTTGGGACAACAATCTGAGATCCCTTCTCTATCTGTTCTGGTCTCCTTGCTTTTGTTTATATATAAAATTATATCTTTATTTAAATGAATAAATATAGTTTATATACTGTACTTAATATATGAACTATATAGAAAGTATAAAAAATATATGTAAAAAACAAAAAAAAAAGCCCCATCCTGGATATTGCTTGACTGTGTTAATATCTGTGTTTCAGAATTACCAGTTAAAAGGCAGTATTACTAAAAATACTAATACTATAAAGATAGTATTATTATAAATATATATAATAATACACATATTATTATATTTCTTATAAAAGATTTTTTCATTGTATTATTTCTCCCCTTACTCTCAAATGCGTCAGGTTCTACTTCCTTGAAGCCTCAATATGATTTCCCTTTTCCCTACATGTAATTCCTACTCTGGATTTAGGGTTATACACCTGAAAATAGATTATTAGAAAATACTCGGTCATGGCTTAAACATTCTTATTAAAATTCACAAAAAAAAACCAAAAAAAAAACCACCCAAATCAAAACAAACTTCAAAAACAGCCCAAACCCAACAATCCTCCCAAATTTCAGTGCCTTCACTAGATACAGATTATGGTTAGTGCTTCTGGAAAATTTCACCTTGCTTTCATTAAAATAAAGACGCTGTTTAATTCGAGGTGCACACACAATTCCTTTGAGAAACACTTTGAAGAAATAGCAGCTTTGCCAATTGCTCATTCCAAGCTATTTTTCTTTCTTCAAACTCATTGCTCACAAGAACAAGCGAAAAACCCACGCCCCGTAAGATGAAAGTGCCTGGGGAAACGGGCTATTTACAGAAAATGCAAAATAATAATGGAAGAAAAGCGAGTGAAGCAGAGTCACCTCCCCAGGAGCATCAAGAGAATACTATTTTTGTTTTGCACACACTTTTATCTTCTGTTGCCAATCTGAGTAGGTACTTGCACAAAAATAGAGTCAGCACATCAAAAATAAAGGATGTGGTGCTTGCAGAAACCTACTCGTGGGTTATTCTCCTCCTTTTCCAGAAAGTGGCAATAAAGACACACACAAGGAGCTTCTCCAGAAGCCTTCCTCAAACTGCACCTGGATTCAGCCTAGACTGAAAACCAAATTTTAAATTTTGAAAGCAAACTCAACACGTGCTCAACCTAAATCACAATAGCTCAAATGAACTGTCCCCTTGTACCCATCACCCAGGGGTGACACTGCAAACTCAGCTTGCTCTCTAGAACTGAGGGAAGAGCAGCGCCTCAAAACCAAAATCAAACYAYCTCAAAACCAAAATCAAACYRCCTCAAACATTTATTGAGAGRAGAAATGACAATGTGRAAGCAAATTACCCTCAAAGGCAGGCTGCTAAACGTTATTAGGACTTCAGCTGTTGCACTTGGTTAGAAAAAGGGTAAAAAAATCTAAATTTTCTGGAGGTTTTTTTTGTTGTAAAAGCAGAATGAATGGTAATCTGATTGCTCTTGGAAAGCCCTCAAAATCATATTCTAGTTACGATTTCTAGGAACCTGCCACCTCCAAGGCCACCCTCTTGACGCTGCTGATATACAGAGAAGTGTCTGCACAGGCTGATCCCCTCATTGTGGTCCCAATACTTCCCCAAGGTACAAGAGGAGATGAGATAAAATCAGAGCAGCATGCAAAAAGAAAAGCATTTCCATGCAAATGAGCCCAGAAAGGCTCAGGAAAAGGTTTGGAAAACCCAAAAGAACTGAGTAATAAACTTGTTAACATAAACCAAACCCATGTCAGCTACAGAATGTCCCTGTCAGCCCTCTCTGCACCCAGGGCACAGCAGGTTTTGTGCACAATGGCAGAACATCTGTCAGCTGCAATGTTCACACTGAAATGATCCTTAACCTCACACCCTGAAAGGAGGAGAATGCAATCCCTACACTGAGCCCTACAGAAAGGTGGGAATGCAATCCCTACCCTGAGCCCTACAGAAAGGTGGGAATGCAATCCCACACTGAGCCCTACAGAAAGGTGGGAACGCAATCCCTACACTGAGCCCTACAGAAAGGTGGAAATGCAATCCCACACTGAGCCCTACAGAAAGGTGGGAATGCAATCCCACCCTGAGCCCTGTGACTCCACACCAACAGGAATGAACAACACCCACACAAAAACCCTGATAATCTCATCCTGCTCCTCTCTCTGCCCTCTCAGCATGGGTTTGCACTGCAGCTCCTACCTGAGTACAGATCCTTTGGGTTAACCCCACAAGAATGCATCCTGCAAGGCACAGTCTATCTGAAATGTCTTTGTTTCCTTTTCAAAGGATGAGCCCTAATTATGCCCAATTAAAAGTCAATCAAAAGCTTCTGATTGCTCCAAATGCCAGTTACTTCTTCCATACAGGGTGACAGATAAGGGATAAAAATAATTAACTCTTTATCAAACAGAATCAGTTGAAGGTAGCATTCCTAAACTCCACTTTTAGGGCAGGCTAAAATCTCGGAGATCTCCAAGAATATCAGAAATTGAGCACACCTCTGACCTCTCTTTTTTTTTTCTGTTTTAAGTGCCTTCAGGTGCTGTCTTAAAAATTGAAATTTTCATTGTCAGTCTAAAGACACTGCCACTATCATCCAGGGAACAGAAGACTTCTCTGTAGTTCTAAAAGCAAAATCTAGAGCCTACAAATACCCTTCAAGTACTTTTGAGGCAACATCTCATTAGAAGTAAATTATTATTCAGGAAGTATCCTTGATACCATATAATTTTTCAGTCATCAAGGATGTCAAACAGTGGAGCTCAGACACTGTAATTTCAGGCAGCATTTCTTTTTCACAACCCTTTTTTTATTGCACCCTTTGCAAGAAGAATAGGTAGAAAATAATTTCTAATGACTTACAGCAAGTTTTGGGTTCTGCATTACAGAATATTCTTTTTGTCACAAGTCTAACAAGATGAGCCAACAAGAAGAGGCCTGATAGGAGATCCCTTAATTAAAGTGAGAGGTAACAAGGCAAAGATGTCCAGGAAGGAGTAAAAACCATTTTCCAGCCACTGCCACCCCAGCTCATGGCAATAGAACAGACCATTTCCAGACATTTCCAAGCTGGATGGCAGAAATTACTTTGCATCATGCAGTTTAACACTCAAACACAAATTATTGAGGGTTTTTTTTGTTTTGTTTTGTTTGTTTATAACCAACAATGTCATACTTTCAGTATCTGTCTTAAAAAGAGAATTATTCTGACACTGGAAAGGTTGCATTGACCCTGCTAAAATGGAGCTGTGCTCACACAAAATTCTTCAAGTTGCCTTCATCAGAAACAGGCAATGAAAATTAAAAAAAGCACAAACAAACCAGTAAGTGATGACCAAGCACAGTTTTCTCGACTGGTAGCAGGCAGTTTCAGCGTTGGACAAAACCCCTTTGCACAGGGCATAATTTACAACTTTATCTTCTCCCTTAGAAAGCTCCCCTTAATAAGAGATTCCAAGGGCCACTAACCTCATGTTCTGTGCCTTCAGGCCTTACTGAGCACTAGGTCTCACTCTAATTTTAATTGCCCTGCAAGGCAATTACTATCACAGAATTTCATGCAGAAGACTTTTTTTGCTGTGTTACCATGTTCATTTTGGAGAAACATAAAAGAAAAATTCATCTGAGGATGGGTGACACACGAAATGAAGCCTTCCAGTAAAAATAATAATGGCACACGTCAGCTACATCTCTAAATTTTAATTACCACTGTGATTATATTACGTTAGACAGCAGTTAAGCATTACCACCAGTTCTATTTAAAGGGCTTGTTCTTATGTGTAATATATGAGCAGAACAGGAAATGTGCCTCCAGGCTGGCAGGGAAAGCAAGGAACAGGTAACACAAGTCACCTACACTTAGTAAAGCAATAGTCCTTAGGAAAGCCAGCAATAAAACCAATCCAAGAATAAAATCCATTTGCAGCCCCTACTGCTGCCCCTAAACACTTTTTTGAGCTAGGCTTTGGTTCTAGCTGACATGAAAATCTGAGCTTGTCCATTTTACAGTCAGGACAAACCAAATTACAGCTTTTCTGTTTCTGTTTAAAAAAACCCACTTTAATATGCAATTTCTCTCTTTTTTTCTTAGCAAGAGAGCACAGCCTTTTCAGTGGCATAATCACAACAGAAGGGGCCTATTCTATCTTTGTTCATAAGGCAGTCCTTTAAAAATGGCTCTCAATTTCTTGCTGTGAAGCACAACTTCCCAGCAAACATTATTTTAATCTCCTGTACTGCTGTGAAGGTAAAAATCATGGAGAAATAACATTTTATAGCAGCATATAGCAGCATGTTCCTTATCTATTCAAGACAAGAAYGCAAAAATGATCTGTTTATTTTAAAACTCGTACTTGTTATCAGAAAATTGTAAGACTCAATTATCTTGAGCTCGCTGATGACTCTGAACATAGAATTATTTGCTTTTCTGCAGAAGCATTCCACTTTCTCAGTTCACATCTGTGGCAATCTCAGACAACAGTAGAGCCCCAGCCTGCTTCTAACAGCTTTTTCATTATTCAAATCCATAATAAAGCATCGAGGCAGATTTCCACAGCACATGGAAACACTGCAGAACAACTCAGCTTAGCTGAGTTTGTAAATAATTCTGTTTGTAAACAATTCTGCCAGCCCAGGATGGCTGCAGCATCCAGAGTGACAATCAGCTGTGACATGGCACAGCAGCAGACCAACATTCACTGCTCTGCAATGTGCCCCCCTGGGCAACAGAAGGCACTGCCAGCTGCAGGGCTTGCTAAYGAAAATAATTTCTTTTGTGAACAGTTCCTGTGCAATTCAGTTATTACAAATTGATTCAAACACAKGCTCAGCTAAAGGTCAAGTGCTCCAAAGGGTCTTTGCTGTATCAGCCAAAGCCCACAGTGCCCAGTCCACTCAAAAAACCCAGATAAGAAAATGGGTTAATGGGTCACAGGTTTTGTCTCCCCATCTCTCCTACAGATTATCTAACTTATTTTTAAAAAGCTCTAATGATAGACATTCCATATACTCCCAATCCATTCCAGTATTCAAATTCCCATTTGCAACTCATTTTTAATGTCTAAATTTACCTCGCTTTTTATTTATAGCCACTGCTTTTTATCCTTTTCACAGCAGACATATAAAACAGTTTCTATCTTTCCCCTCTGCAGGATTAAAAAAAAAAAATAGAAACCAACTCATGATTTTTAATTACCCAGACTGAGAGCACCATACACCATCATTGTTTACCATGTCTCAGGAGATATTAAAATCCATTGCCACAAGCAAAGATTTTGATTAATCCAGATAACACTCAAGCAAGTGGATGGAATCCCAGCTGATGGTCATCTCAGCAAAAGGCAGAAAGATAATCAAGGACAAAGAAACCCATCTGCACATTTATCAGGACAGGAGAGAAGCCTCAGATGCCTTTCTGGAGTAGAGCTGTCAGGTAGCTCAGCTTCTGACTTGCCTCATTATTCTTTTAACTTCCAGACAAGGAGCTGTTGTGAATCAGGCTATTTTGTTAAGAAAATGTTTCTCATCACCATTCTCCCTAAATAGACAAAGTAACTAATTTTCTCATAAATTATGCTTGTACACTTCATGCAGCTGAAACAGAAAACCAGACTTATTCCTGTTGCTGCAATACTGACTTAGCAAAGATTTGTTAAATAATTGCAAGGTCAATACAAATTAATGACAATTCGTTAAAGTCCCTAAAAAGATTTGCAGTGCTCACCTCGATGACTCTTGTCTCAAAATCTTCATAAGTTTCTGTTGGAAGAAAAACAGGGAGTTACATTTCCTTGTGTTACTTCTCCATTAGCACATCCCTCTGCACGTGCTAAGAAGGACACAACTTCTATGGGATTGTAATTTGTAAAGCAATATCAGCAATAAGTAGGAAAGGGAATAAAAATAATTTGAACAAGCAGTATAAACTGCCTTCTTCCTTAAATGTTAATCTAAAACTCCAAATAAACCTCAAATTTTGAATATACAGAGCAAATTTTGAATATACCTGTAAAATCATTAAAATCATCAGATAAGTCACTTGCATTATGACTAAAGTATTATCCAATATTGTTCTGAATCCTGTACAATCCACAGGGATTCAAAAAAATTTGGGGGTTGGGCTAGATGACCCTTCCAACTCAATCTATCCTTTGATTGCATGGTTCTAGAGTCAAGTATTTCTTGATKCACACTTCTGTGAAATTCCAGACAGGGAGGGAGAGCATGAAACAGAACAATACACAACCACTTCAAATAACCATGSATCATTCAACCCTTACAACCTCTTCAAATAACTTATCCCATGAACAAGAGCATTTCAGGGTAACACAGAAGAGCATTATTTGGTGTAGTTCTAGTGAAATTCTGAAGAAAAGCTAAAAACCATGTAATGGGGTAGAGCTGAGGCCTCAGTCCTTCACCAAACATTGCTTTATCATTCATCTATAACCTCCAAGATGAACATAAACATGATCAATTTGACACAGTTTAGATTTACAGTCCACACAAAGCAGATTTTTAGCTCACAAARGAGGATATGAATCCCAACAGGCACTCTGTTACCTCTCTGATGCCTCTTCAATTGCAAAGGAACACTGTAAACTTGGGAGAAAAGTGATTTTATTTCTCAGTGAAAAATGCTGTTCTTTCTCTACTCCTAGCTAGCACAAGAAGTGACACCAGSGAGTTCAGTCATGCCACAGTCTCAGGCCAAAAAGGATTCATTGAGTTTGGCAGTTTCAGGTCTGTTCTTCCTATCACCTTGACAGTGCTTTGCATATGTCCCAGTTCCCTGGCAAAATCATTAATTCTCTGATGCTGAAAGAAATATGGGGGCCTGAAAATCCCCAGCATTTTTAACAGATTAAAAGGAAATCAGTGCATGCTAATCAGAAACTGCTTTTTCTCAAACACATTTATAATACAAGCTGACAGCTTCATTTTCCTGTTTTGACTGCAGTGCCCTTTCCTCTTTTTGGCAGAACTCAACCTGACCAGAACAGCCAACTGTAATGCAAGTAATTCACACCAACAGCACCAGCCAAAAACAAAACCAAGGAAAACACCAGAAGGTGAAGTTCATAAATGCATAAACATTGTTTACAACAGCTGTCACCTATTTTAGTGGGATAAACTCAACAGTTTTGTGTTCCCAGTATGGAACTAGAACCACGGAATTTTCTTGACTTTCTCCATGTTCCACCATTGATTTATGGAAACTGGGAACAATTCATCTCTCAAATCTTCTATTTTTACACTGACAGATTCAGGTACAGTTGGCCAAATCCATGATCCCATCACCGACTTCCATGGAATATTTGCTCTTGAGGTAATAAAATGAAATGCACAATGGTGCAAGAAAATACCACCTGTCTTTCTTAGCTCCTTTTACTATAAAAGTGTACAGAAAGATATCAATAAGCAGAATTTCACAATAAAAACTCAGCCCAACAGRTGTTGACAAGTCTTTTTTAAGTTTAATTAGTTGAAAAAGATTAGGCTTCTACATATTAAAGCTACTGTAGAATTTCTAGTAGTCTGAATAACAGCACTGTAAAAAAAAGTCACTTCTCTGCTGTGTATACAGGATCTCTACTTTCACTGTACTGAACTACTTAGGAAATAAATAAATAACTTTTCTAGTTATTACAGTTACTATKATAGTTATTTATTGCAGCTCCTTCTAAAAGCTACATTCAAACTGCATAATCATTACCCTTATTTCATTATTTGAAAAGAGAATTTAAAAAGATTGATTTATCCACAGGATCCTTTAAGAAAATATAAAAAGACCATGATTATTTCATACTCAAGACAATTGATGCTGAAAAACATTTCCATCCTTCAAGACTCAGAACTTTGTAATGCCAGATAAAATCAGTCTATAATATAACATAACATAACAGTCTAACAGCTGTAAGAAATTCAGCAGTGTTTTAACAAATTTCACTGGTGTTAGTAGTACCTGCTCTTCCATTGAGCTTGCTTGTGTGTGGGCGTGGAACAGAGAAGTACAAAACCAATTTTCAGTCACAGAAAAAGCCTGGATCTCACTTTCTCCAAGCCCCCCACTCTCAGAAAGGCAAAGATAATTTTTTTCTTACCTCCATTAGGACCAGGGTCAGGAGGATCCAGAAGAATACCACCCCAACACTTTCCACTCCATCCTCCCTCTCTCTTAATTTTGATTTTCTTTTTCCTCTCCCATGTGTCTCTCTGCTGAATAATTTCAGACTGAATTTTCTCTCKTTCTTCTTTTTTTCGTTGGGCAACTTCCTGGACTCTCCCAGTTTGTATCACAGGAGCATTGAGGCCAGGCCAGAGGAACCCAGAACGTCCTTAAAARTAACAGAGAAAAAAATATGCTTTGTTCCAAATGAGGATTGCAACTCTGTACTCAGGAAAAATGCACCAAAATGGAAAGTTCTCACATATTTCAAATGCMTTTTATGATGTCAAAATTATATCTAAAATAGCAAAACCAACATTAAATAATCATATYGAGACTTTTTGTTTAAAGACAAAAATATCTTAAGCAGTTCTGACATCACAGAAAGGAAACACAATATGTCCCTTAATTAAATCAAGAAACACTACACACAAAAATGTTAAGACATGTCTTCAGCTTTCTATTTGTGAATCTACCTTCACCAATCTCCTGGCCTCTATTGAGATTCTTCCTTAGCTTTTTCTTCCTTTTCTTTCCTCTTCCTTTCTTCACTCCCACGCCAGTCTCTGCCAAAGCTCCTTTCCACAGCTGATCAGCTGTCACTGAAATGAAAAAAAAAAAAAAACCTTCCATAAGTAATGTACAAGTACAGCTTACACTGGAAACTGAAGCTGAACAAAAAATAACCCTGAACTTCAAGCCTGCTTGGTCTTTGCTTTGCTGGAATCTAAACTGTAGGGTTACTGCCTTGCTAAGAAAGTGATTTTCTACTCTGTGAATGTTTTTTTGGTGCAAAAATGTGCCTCTGCTCCTGATTACTGCACTCAGGCACACAGCCAAGTGCTTATTTTTTTAAAGGGTTTTTCAAAATCAATTTAAAGACAAATATTCCTAACAAGTAACCAGTAAGGTATTAATTCCCAGGTCATGAAAAGAAAATCACTCATTATTAACTCAGAGCAGCAACACCTTGAAGCACTTGTCCAAGGACATTGATCAATGACAGCCAACTTGAATCACCCCTAAAAATATCCAAGGGGCAGCATGCTTTCAAGCCACAAAGTTAACCAAAACATAAACCTGCTGCTGTCCTAATGTTCTGAATATATCATGTCCCCCTTATTGTTTGTATAAATGCAAAGGAATGCAAGGAGGGAGGAATGCAAAACACTTTGAGCAGCACCATGACAGAGCCCCAGTTTTGTCAGACTTCCTCAGCCAGTGGCTGTGGCCAGGAGCAGGCACTGCTTTGGTGTTTCACCCAGCACAGGAGAGCAAGACCTAGGAAAAACCTGTTTAATATTTAACTGCAAACTACCACTCACCCAGCTGATGGAAATACAGGACACCATGGCAGCTCAGACAAAAAAAACTACACCAAAGAGAGGCTGATGATGTGAAAAAACACTGTAGATGATTTTGGAGATTCCCAGGATGGCTCAGGTTGGAAGGGACCCACTGTGGGTCACCTGGTCCAACCTCCCTGATTGTTCTATTCCACCACCACCATTGTTCTATTTGCAGATTAATGCCATTATGTGCTTGACCCAGGGGTAACATTACTACAGCATTTCTCTGATTAGAAATGGATTTTGTGTATTTAAGGTTGACAGAATTAAAAATCCAGTAAACATCTGTAATCAGGGGAATTAAAATAACCATGCAGTCACTACCATTTCCCATCAGCAATCAGTTATTTTCAGATTAATGCATTTGAGACATCCTGCCCCACAGAGTGGCAAATGATTTGGAACTGGGGAAGCTCTGACAATTCTCAAAGACAGGAGCAACCCAGGATGCCCAGAGGTACCACTCAGTGCCCAGGTTTATTATTGTAGTAAGTTTGTTTAAGGAGCCAAGGTGKTTCTTCCAAGAGTTGAACACACACCTATTCACTCAAATAACTTTTTCCAAGTGGRAAGTGTAATGGATTCATTTTTGAGAATCCTGAAATCCTGATTCAGGCAATCAAAGTTCAGTACCATGGAAAGCAAGYACACAACACACAACTCTGCAAGCCAAGAAGGCACAAAATAGAATTACCTGAAGACAGCCAAGAGCAGAGAGGCCTCCAAAGTCACTACATCCCCAAAAAACATGGTGTGTGAACAGTTCAACAAGGCAAAACATGCAATAGGGATTCTGGCTGTTTTGCAAACAAGTGGAAATCTGTGTGCTACCAAGTAGAAATGCTCATGGATAACAATAAAGTTTATCACATTTCCTAAATGCTGTGAGGCAAGAACTAAAGATGCTCCTGGGTAGGCTTTAGTCCTTGTAAAAAAGAAGATTTTATCTGAAATTACATTCAAGTGAACACCAATGTCCCAAGGTTTAGGAGTTAAAAAAAAAAAATCCCACTAACAGCAGCTGTATCAAATGGCTTGAAACCAGTGTCTGAACTGTGAGCCACTAAAAAAACCTTCCAGCTGATTACAACACACAGATGCAGTAGCTGTGGAAGAAAAAACCAACAAAAAACCCCACCAAAACCAACAAAAACGTATATAAAAAAGCATTATGTCCTTACCACAATTTCTTTCTCAGTGGGAGAAAAAAAGTAAAGTAAGTAGGTAATGCATGATTCAGTAAATTGATATTCTTAAGTGAACTCTGTGGCTGTTCCATTAGGTGGAAGGCTGATCATCAATCCTGTTAAGCTTCTTASCTTATTCAGCAAACACCRTATAACTAGCAATTCTTTTTTAAAAATTATAATCCTGCTAGCCTGGAAACATGGAATTACAATAAAGGTACTTCCATTTGCCTTTGCAGGGCTATTTTTAAGCTGGAACAGCCCCTCAATCTGCAGTTTGGGTGACCTCACAAAGGGTCATAACAGYTCCAAAGGATGCTGCAGGGGCAGCAGTAAGCAGTTGAGAGAAAAAAGCAACTCTGGAGCTGGTAACACACTCCAAAAAAATCCTGTGCTTTGAGCTGCACTCCAAATCTATGTACAATCAGATCACTTTAACTCCAACAGAGGAAAACAGCAAAGGTCACAGAGTGAGGACACTTCTTGTACCAAAGGAGACCACTCAACGCCAACAGATCCATGAAGAAGAGGTCAGGCTGAGTCAAGCTTTGGCCTCAAGCACTGCAAAAATTCTGACAAAATGAGAACCAGATGAAAACAYTGCATTTGGTCCCAAAGTGCAGCTCATTTAATCAGTCTATAATAATAATGCCATCATGTGTTTGGAAAGCAGCTGCATTTAATGAAACACATCAGAAGCCTGCAGGCTGCAGAGCAGAGCTCTTTGTAAGATGGAGGTAWCACACTGATTTTAAGGCAAAGTGACAAGAATGGAATATGAAAGGGATAGGCTGTCATCAGGAAAACTACAATGGTGGGGACATTGATTATGACAGACAACACAGAAATGGAGAAAATAAAAATCTGTGTGCAAGAAAGGTCAATCTGACTTGGCAGCAAAGCACCAAGGTGATTAGCAAAGCACATACATAGGCAGGAGAAATGTCTTGGAGTGGAGAAAATAACTCCAGACAGAAAGGRGGATCACTGTGCTGATTCTCACTCTTGTAGAGATGCTCTGAAATGAAGACAGTGCAGTAAACATGCAGTCTCTTCATGATTTATGGCATTATTTTATTTTGCCTCTGTAAAATAGGGTGCAACATGYATTCCTCAAGAGCTAAAATAGAACCAGTCATAAAAGCCACTACACATTCCCAGTCACTACACATTTCCAGTCAAGTTACCAAAAAGCACATAGCTGCTGAGTGGGGGGAAAAGGTATCATCTATAAGATTTGATTTTATAGACTAGACAAAGATCCACTATTGAATTGAGCTGAAAGCAGGCTTTATGCAAGCTGATCACTGACAACCACCAAMARTGAGTCTCTGTGACATCACTCCAATTCGCTTCATCTACACAAAAGATTTYTGTAATATTCTGAAAAGAATTYGGGATTGTGTCTTTTTGTATTATCYCTGAATATCAGGAATGAGACAGGTATTTATCAGATGAATATTAGACCACACCTCAGTAACCTGCAAGTACTGCAAACCCCATCAGAAATCAGTCTCCTAGAAACTCATTAATTGAGATTAAAATCAGATTTGTCTCCTGCAAGATGAGTTCACATCTTGCCTAGAATACAAAGAAAGACAAAGAGCAGTAAGTTAGAAAATTKAAGTGAATAAAAGGAGAAGAARGAATCAAYTTTGTARAACAGCTAAGCRGGCTCACTTCTTTCAAATACAAGTAATCTTTCCCTAAGGTTTTGGTGACAAATAGCCTTTGGCAGCACAGCAGCAGAGGTACAAGGACATTAATACTGACATAATAAAAAGGCTAATGAATTTGTTGTAATAAACATCCAATGCACTGCTGTCCACTAACACCATTCCATTTGTGCAACTGTATTACCTTACTTACTTACTTTCCATTTACTAACATTCTCTTCTGGGTTTCAGCTTGGAATACACACTTATATTAACAGATAAAATCTCATAGGGTATGATATTTCAACTCCCTTCCTTCACCAGAACACCAATGGATTCACCCCCAACTCCAAACAAAAACAGGATTTGGAAAAAAAATGCTTCATGTGTATGAAATATGAAAGAGCAAAGAGAATGTGCTGTTAACATATTCTGCTACAAATGTAGTCATTAATTACACCATCTGTACACAGCTGCTTAATGACCACAATGAGACATTTCTTCTCAAGTGCAGGTCTTTAATTTCACTAACTCAACCCTTTAACTTAACACACTTATCTGGAACCTGGAGACCCAAACACTTCCTGATTTGAAGAACTTCAAAATCAGTCTCCCATTTYCTGCATGAATATACGTCTCTGTTTTTTCACAAACACCATTCCAAAGAATAAAACTTTCTGTTTCCAGCTCCCGTTGCATCCATGCTTAAAAGAGGCTGGCACAGAGCAGGCTACATGAACTACTCTTAACTAGAATCTGGCAAAAAGCTGCAATTTAAACAGCTTAGGTCAGGAAAAGGAGTTCTCCACTGTATTTTTAAATCTAGGCCTTATGATGTCTGATATTCTCTCTCCACCACTGTACATAATGCACCTAATTAACAATATCCTTAACTACAAAGCATTTAGGGTAAATGTGCTAGGAAAAAACAGACACAGAGCAGCTGTCTTAAGAGCAAAGCCCACAACTCATAGCAGTGGCTAAACACGACTCAAATAATTTAGATGTCACTCCAATTGCATGTATTGACATTCAACTTCAAGCTCAATTCTTACGAGTGGCTGAAGGAATTCTCACAATTACATTAAAAACCTACTTCCAAAACAACAGCAGTGAACCATCCWAAACAAAGATGGAGTTTGACTTTATACACCCTCATCATCTTCAGCTGAACTCATACACTGCTCAAAAACTGTCAACTCAGTTCACACCATCTGCTATCCCTGACAAGTTATGCTTCTAATATATTTTCCTCTTAGTTTTAAAAGTGGAAGTCTTTAATTCCAAGGCCAACTCAGACTTTTCAAAGTTACTTATGGAAAATATTTAACTCCTCTAGGGTGAATCCTCTCCTCCATGATTCAAAAGGGAATATTCTGCAGATGATAATACAAAGAGATTTATTTATGAGAGAAAAATGGAACAATGGCATACTAATACCAGATGGATTACTTMAAACATGCGAGATTCTACAGCGGCCTCATCAAAATCAGTGTTCATCCCAAGTGAGAACTCATCCTGCCACTTCACCTCTGAAATGCAATTGTCTGCCACAATGTGACATCAGTTTAATGACTCCCTGTCTAATCCTGGTCCACAGGCAGAAAAGCATGGATCTGTAAGACCTATAACAAATGAGATATAGTGCTGGATTATTCTTAAGTCACCACATTCAAAACATTGTTTTCTTCAAAGAAAGAGACCTTTCTCAAAAGAGACCCCTCAACAATCTAAATGGAAGTGTATGATGCATATCTGATACTGAGCTCTGCTGAAACATAATGAGAAGACAAARATCTCCACCTCCCCAGAGAGGCCTTAAAAAACCCCAAAAACACTGCTTTAGCAAAATATATGTTTTCGTTTGCAATTCTGCCTGYATCCTCTGCAGATGTCATCTTCTGAGGGTATTATCTGTGAGCTCTCCAGGGCTTTTATACAAACCTGGGAAGTGCTGAAGACTGTAAAGAATTCTGTCTAGACAGCCATTACTGAGTCACACAGCATTAATCTGGGTAGCAGGTGGCATCCAAGTGCAGAACTGCAAGAACCTGGACACTGAAAATGTCTCACTAAGACAAGTACCACTGCAAAACCATAAAAAACAACAGGAGGTCATGGAAAAAAATCAGTACCATGGGACAGATATAAAATGGTTTTAGATAAAAGTTCCCCTACTAAAACTTAGAGCTGCACAGATGTCAAATGTTTCCACTGAAAATTTAAGCTCAGTTCTACCCACTGTTAGATGGATTTCCACAAGAGTGTAACTGGAAAAGAACCTTCATCTACTGCCAAAGTTCCAGTCCTCTGGATTTGTAATACAAGTCTGAAGCTTTTGGGGCTACCTACTTATTCACAGTGATTTAATAACAYTGTTAAAAAATGAAAAGCTCTAATTATGTGGATTGCATAAAAATTTTGTTTAAGTGTGTCTGAAAATTTGTTGGCAGAAAAGACATCTATAGTCTAATTATTTTTCCCACAACATAGCATGGGAATGTTGTGGGCATTTTCCTCAAAATCTGGAAACAAATCTGTTGTATCACAATAGTACAATAAAACTTCAGAGCAGGAAAATATTCCAAAAGATGCATTCATACTGCTACACTGACACAGGGAATAACTCCACTTAACTGCAAACCTTGAGCACACTTCCACAGTGCACTTAGATTAAAATTTCACATTTTCTAAAACTGGCAATTTGTCACAGGGTCAGCAGAAGTTGGAGACGTGGGATTGTCAGGTTGAATGTCAGGCACAATTCAAACCCTGAATAAATCCAGCTACAATCCCAGCACCTGAGAAATTGCATTTTGTTCTCTTATAACATTTTATTAAAAACCAAGGACCTTAACGTAGCTAATATATGTTATTGTAAATGCTACTACCTTTTGATAGTTGCTTTGATATTAAAGCTTTAGTTTTTTATTTTTAATAACTGTCATGCCTCACTGTCACCAGATGGATATGGAGAAGAGAGATTTCAGTGAGGACTGCAAACTAAATACCTTAGGCTTGGTTCAGTTCCTCAAAACAAAGTGAAAATCAGAGACTTAATACCTTTCAAAAGTAATACTGCAGAGTAACAAATCAAAACCAAACACAATACCCCTCCAAGAACAATTAACTACAAAGCATTTTATATTCACTTCCCTTTTTTCCTGACTAAAAGCAATTAAACTATTCTTCAATACACAGACAACTCTCTTGTAGAAGGAAAAAAAACTAAAAAGGCAATTGTACAGTTTTAACTCTATACATCCTTAATACTCAAACATCAAAACTCTTCTTATAATACCACTGATAATGACAAGAGGCAACTCTGTAATTATTTATCTGGAGTGTTCATACTTCCAGAAAAATTCTTTGTAAAATGGAAAAGTAAGTATTTCTTAGTTCTGGTCCTCGAGTTAGACATGTCTGTCAAAATGAACAATTTAACCCAAAAACACCTCATGTAAGACAACAAAAACATAATATAAAATGTAATTAAGGAGCAGCGGAAATTGTCCCAGGTCACAGCAGTGGCTTTGAAATTGGATGATCTTTAAGGTCCCTTCCAACCCAAACCACTCTATGATTCCATGACTGGGTAGCTAATGGAATTAATGCTGTGAGTAGGAAAGTCTAATTTTTATATAGCCCCAGTATCAAATAAAAGCTCTTTATTCTCACATACACTTGGATACATAACGGGTGTTGAGAAAATTATGCTGGTCTTGATGCCTGGGGTCAAAGAAAACTCCTGAGGCTGGGAGACAGCCAAACCATGGAATGAAAACTAGACTGCTTCCCATGGAGAGGAGGGTGGAAAGGGGAAAGATTAAGCATGGAATAAGAAGATAATTTTACWTTATTTCATTACAAACTCACTGAAATATGTCACAGGACAAGAATAAATCCCTGATTATGTTTTTGTGTCAGAGTTGCAGGAGACAACTATCTGGGCAAGGATCAGAGACTGCCTAGGATAATTGCAATTCCTCCTATTTAAATGAGTTCCTTCTTTTAAACCAGTTWAACTATTAAATATAAAAGTTCTGTCGAAAGTACAGATGACCCTACCATCAAGAGCACAGTAATATATTAAAGGTATGACGGAAGATAATTAAGCATCCACTAAYGAGACAGAAAAACACAGTCACCTTTCTCAGTCACAAAGCCCTGTCATTTGGCTGACATTTCACTTGACAACCATTTCATAGAAAATGGTCCTATCTGCATTTTAAATGTTACCACTTCTGAAGCAACTGCACTCCTAAGGACATGAGTGATTTATATTGTTTGTATCTACTTCATTTGAATTCTGAAGATTTTATTTTTTATTTCTGCAAGAGAAACTGTTCTTCAAATTGTTATCATTTGAAATACAAACCCCTTAGACTTCTGAATCTCATGGCTACTGTCTCTGCTGAATACATAAAGGAAGCATACTCAAATTTTTCCAGATTGCTACATCTTATTAAATAAGGCAATAGTTYTAGGTAATTTGCCTAAACATATAAAATTTTACTAAGTCAAACAACACAGATGCCATCCCAGGRAATATTTTTAATTCAGTCACTTAACCACACATCTGGAAAATCTCCTGGTAAAACAGAGCTCAGCTAGTGCTTGTGAATATGAATAAGGAAATAATCTAACCTAATAAGGAAACAATCAAACYTACAAATTGTAATCAGATTGCAATCACTTGTGGTGCTACATGGTAAATTTCAGATAAACAAAACAACAACASCGCTTGGCTTCTTACATATCCTTATCTTCTTGCTGCTTGTCTGAACGAGTTTTTCCTGCAGGTGGCATCCTTAGAAAGCCTTTTCCAAGCAGAGCCTTGCAGTTCACACTGCAGCCTTTTCCAAGCCTTTGGAGGTACCTCTACCTTCAAGYATTTGGAATCAGTCAATGGTCAAAATTTACTCAGTAAGATGAGCAACAAGCCCAGCCTGACTACTTAACCTCATTTCTTTAGCAGATCAAAAAAAAAACAAAACAAACAATATTCTGTCACTCAGATGCTGAGAACAGGAAGAGACCACCAGTTCTGAAAGTCTGATTTTGCAGAGCTMTTAAATTCTACGGATTATGAACAATCAAACTTTGACTCTCAAACTGATACCTCTGCCAGAGATTATTACCATTCCTTCTCTTCCCCTATGGGATAGCATACAGAACCACAAGGCAGGTGAAAAGGCCCCTCAGTTACCTCAGTTCACAGTTCTGAGTGAATTTAAACAGCCATCATTCCTCAGTTATGGGTACAATTCCCTTACACTTTGAAAATACTGCATCCAACCAGAAAATCTGCAGGATGTTACCAACAGCTTTTCTGTAACACATTCTTGCATTTCAGCAATTTCATTTTTGAGACAGCACAGCTTGAACACAGTCTGGCCTGGGGCTCAAAAATAATTTAGARGATAAACACACAATTTATATTCTCAATAAAGGCCTAGGAAACAGAAAAAGATGCTTCCTCCTCCCATAAATAATGACATTTATTAGATGGATTCACTGTGACATAAAGCAAACCTTTGCTATTAAAAGACAATAACCTAATTTTGTGCATGCACTTCTGTCAATGTYTGTAGCTGCAACTGCACTCTAAGAAAACACAAAAAAAAATGAGCACACACAGATTTTCATGACTGCATCTCTCCAAAGCAGTATTTTCTTTTCCTSTTCTGTTTATTGCAGTTAATAATTTTTATCCAACTTACATGTATTGAAGAAGCTGCTTTTCCTGCACTGCTCCACTGTCCCAGTCCAGGGGGCAGAGAGGGAGCACCGTGTCTGGAAAGCCCATGCCAGGCTGGAGTACGAGCTGCAACTCCCTTTCACTGGCACAGAAGCAAAGCCTGGGAACAAAGACAGAAAGATTTTTATAATATAGCACATTTCCTTCCTTAAAACAGTATTTTCTGCAAATATATAGCACCGGAAGAAAAAAACAGGGGATTTTCAAAGGGAATCAGGAGCTTTTGTCTTGAAGTGCAAAGCAGAATGTGGGAGGGAGAATATTGCAACAGAAAATGTCACGAAGAGAAGAAGGCTAGAAAGCTCCTCGCATATTGCTGATAGAGGGATTTTAATAAATTATTTAGGAGCAGTTGCAGCCTTTCATTTTTCCTGGTTTACCTGCAAGAAATGGTTGGGGTTTTTTAAGGATATGCTTGTGACTAAACCATGAAAATATTTCCCTCCACTAAGGAAACACCACTGGCCTCTTTTCAAGCCCCCCTTAAAGTTCAGGTTTTAATCACAGTTTGGCATCACTTCATTATAAATTGCCCTGAGGATGAAAAGAAACCTGAAATTCATTAACTACTTAGATTTCATTTATTATTTTTTTTTTTTTAGGACTGTAGGCAAGGACATTTTTAGAGTACCATAAAAGACAAGAATGTTCTCCCTTCCTACTAAGTGTACTTTAACCACTACTAGGAAAAAAAAAATTATACATTTGAATTTGAATTACACATTTGAAGAGGATTAAATACCAGAAAGAAACAGCTACAGAAAAATTAGAGAAATTTGGATTCCTAYTGAATAAAATGTCCAGGATGACATTTTAGAGAAGGAAGGTAGAAAGAATGGGAAGAAATGTTTGAAAAACAAAGCAAACCACCTCACTCCATCATCTTAAGGCAGCTGTTACTGCCCRGGTTACTCTGATGGGGTGATGAGTGACTGATCCAGGTTTCAAATGCACAGTTTTGTGCTGGTTTTGAGTTTATCACTGGCCATTTAATGTGACTGCAGTGTCACAGGTGCAGCCCAGTGAGGAATTAACAMATTGGAGAGAAAAATCACTGCAACGGCTTATAAAATTTAAATTCACCTAAGTCCAGAACCCCCACTCTGCCAAGGACCAGCACTTGGGATTACGGGAACGCTCCTTATCTCCCTGATCCCGCAGCAACCTTAGGGTCAAACCTTCGAGCRGGGGAGTCATCAGGAGCTGCTCTTCCCAAATCACACCTCAGATCCGAGGGAAGGCTGCAGGGACACTGCAAACCCCTCATGTGGATGTATGAATGTGCGTATGTATGTATGAATGTGTACACAGATGTATGGACGTTCACACGGATGTTCGGCTGTGCACCCTCAGCGCGCTCCCCTCGCCCTGCGGGCAAACCCCCCGCCTCCCGCGGCTCCTGCCCGGGCCGGTGAGCGCTGCCCTCCCCGCCGAGGCTCCCCCGGCACCCCGCGCTGCCCCATCACCTCTCCAGGCCGCTCGGAGCGCCCCGCGGGCACACGCCCGCCCGGCCGCCACCACCGCCGCCGCCATGACGGGTCCTTCCCCCTCACGGCCACCGTACCGGGCTGCCCCGCGCGCTGCCTGACGCGGGAACGGCGGGCGAGAAACTGAGGCGGACACGGTGAAACCGCGGCTGCCTCGCAGCTGAAACCTTTGCTGACACTTTAATGGAGCCTTTGCTTATATTCTCCCCCTGCGCCGGCTCCTTCCTGCACCCTTAACAATCCCGCAGACAGGCAAAGGGTGAACAGCCGCGAAGGGAAAGCCCCTGGCAGGTCCCCAGCGCCCGCCCCGCTCCGTGTGTGAGGAGCCCTAAATTTGTGTTCTCTGGACGCTGAAGTCTCTCTTTTAGAAAGAATTTCTTTTCAGGTACTTCTTTTCCAGCGCTATTAGTGTCTCATAGTTTGAACTACACCTTTAAAGCCGTTAATGCTTCGTCTTTTGATGCTTGGGATAAATGTTGGCGTTGGAGAAGTGTTTAGGGTTTTGCTCTTATTACAGTACCATTCTGATCCATAAAAATAGATGTGCCACAAGGCAATAATGACGCACTCGAAAGAGATTATTAATTTCAGAGTTGCACAAGCTGGATGCTCAGTGATATTCCAAAAATCAAGCACCTCAACCATCAAAATTTGTTAGTGCTTATACATTTTAGCAAACAAAGGAATTAGTGTTCACTGGCAGCGAGTTACATAGTTCTCTTGTAAAATAGTATTCTGCTATTTTTTAATGATTCTCTCCCTTCTCATGCTAATTAGTCTGCATGCTCAGGCTTTCTCTTGGTCTGAGGTGGGGTCTCTGTCGGTGGCTGTGATCTGTCCCTGCCAGAATTACCTTGTACCCAGTCAGAGCTGATTCAGCACAGGCACTGAGTTGTCTTTATTAGTTTCTTCCTTATCTCGGGAGTTTTGCCAAAARTCCTTGTGGCCCATAAATTCTGCATTCCTTGTGTTCACCATCAGTGGTACCTCCCTCTTCCCAAGCTTAGTTAACGTCTCCCTTTGTCTGAGATCACTGAAGCACATCCAGCCCTAAACCTTAATGAGGCAATTCCACCCACAAGTAACAGCCTGGGATGAGAGCCTGACCCCACCTGGACACAGCCTCCTTTTAGGGAATTGTGGAGAGGGATAAGGTCACCCCTGAGCCTCCTTTTCTCCAGGCTGAGCTTTCCTGCCCTCCACACATCAGCACTCCCACCCAGCTTGGTGTCATCCACCAAATTTCCTGAGGGTGCACTCGATCCCTTCATGCAGATCATCAATAAATACATTAAACAGGACCAGCACTGATCCCTGGGGACACCATTGGTGACTGGACACTGGTGGGTGCAGCACCATTCCCCACCACACCCTGGGCCCGGCCATCCTGGCAATTCTTAACTCAGAGAAGATGAACTTGTCCAAGCCATGGGTTGCCAACTTTCCTGGAGAAATCTCTGGAATACAGTGTCAAAGGATTTGCTGAAGTGCAGGTAGACACATCCCCAGATTTTCCCTTTTCCCTTTTCCCCACCCATTAGATAGGTCATAAAAGGAGATCAGGTTGGTCAGGCAGGACCACTCCTAAAGCCATCCCTGGCTGTCCTGTATGTGCCATGTAATCACACTCAAGATAATCTTGACCCAGGCACTGAGGTCAGGYTGAYRGGYCTGGAGCTCCCCARAWCCTCCTYCCAACCCTTCTTGTGGATGGGTYTCCAACCTGCAGCCATCTGGGACCTCCCTGGTTATCCAGGACTGATGGGAAATGATGGAGAGTGGCTSGGTSAGCCCTTCCACCAGCTCCCTCAGTGCCCTAGGGTKAGTCTGATCCAGTCCCATAAGATTTGATGTGCTTTGGGAGCTGCTCAGGCCCCTGAACTCGCTCTCAGTGAGGGTAAGAAGGCAGCCTGGCATTCAGCACACACCTTGTCCCCCTGGTGCAGTCSCCTTGGGCTGGGAGCTGTCTGTGCACAGAGCCTGTCACTGTGRCTGGGAGCTGTTACCCTACCAAGGATGAGAAGGTGGAGTGCTAGGGAATGAATCCTTGCTCTTTCAGATCGAGGGACAGGGAGAATTTTGCTGGAAAGGCTTTGCAGCTGCATTTCCCTTCTTACTTTCCTCCTTTTTGTGCAGCAAAGGCAGTTATTGGTATAAAAACCATCTACAACACAGTCATGTTTGTAATTCCCAATCTCCTTCCTGAAGCATTGGTTTCAGTATTAAAGCCTACAGTAATAACAAATGGCTTCATTTGCATTAGTGAGCAGAAACACACAACCTACAACGTCTCCATTATTTGTCATACATTCAGAATGAAACACAATGATTGCTTTGTACCTTATGGAACAAAAATACACCCAGAAGCTGGAAAGAAGAATTTCCTGTARTGTTCTGGCAGATCAGCTGCTGGCAGAAAATTGATGCAAGACATAATCTYTTAAACTGGATTTTTATCTTATCTTCTGGCACTTTAAATATGCCCTCACGGCGTTAAGACGTTGCATATGCCAGGAYGTGACCCTGACACTGTCACCAAGGATAAAAACAATTAGTCTCTCATAAATTCCTGCAGATATGTTGGCTGAGGTATTTATTTCCAGTTCTTCCTTTTGGAAGTAATTGTGTCATGTAGAGAATTAAACYCTCTTTTATATTTATGCACTGGGTGATCTAATGGAAATGCCACTTTCTGCGCATCGTTTACCAAAGAGAAGAGATTTGCCTTGTACARATTTGTTACCCAGGCAGTGAAATGACTGTTTAAGTCACTCTACCTTGTTACACTGGGACAGCTGCTCAATGCCAGCAGTGTGAGCAGGGCTGGCTTGTCTTGTGCAGTGGGAATCGCTTTATGCAATAACTGGGCTCTGAGAATGCTGCATGGATTAAAAAAAAAGATGGAGAAAAAGTAATGTACAGCCTTCAAATCTGGTTCTTGACATTCAGTTTTAAGATTCAACTCAAAGAGGACAAATTTCCTCCTTCCTGAGAGTTATTGCACTTACCTTCCTCCCACTCTTTCTGAAAAAAATGGAGTTTTACATTTTAAGAAGAGACTTTACAAAAGGCTAAATGGATTTGGAGCAACACCTGCTGTTGGTATCCCACTGCACTCCTGTGAGACACACATCAGGTCTGTCCTGCACTGGAATACTTTCAGCAAAGTGATGTTAACAGCTGTTTCTTCACCATCTCAGGGCAGAGGAAAAAAAAAAATCCATCATATCTGATAACTGATTTGGATCAGGATTAGTCATCGATTTGTGAACAGCACTGCCCCTGGGAGGGACACGATGCAGGCTGATAATGAACCATGCAAGGGCAGGCTTCCTGCTCCAATAAAGGAAGAATTGTGCACTCTAATGCCAGCAGACAAAAATTTCARGGGAGATGTGATTTTGATTAGGGCTTTCCTATCTCTGAACAATAGYAAAGTCTCAATCTAGTTAATTTGTTTTTGCAAGACTGATAATTTTTAACAACTGATAACATGAAACGCTGTGGGGATTTTGCCTGGCTCGCTGCCTGTAAATCTCTAACGTTTTAAAGTCACTCCCCAGTGTATGTTTTCTCATTGTAAAAGCAATATCAAACAAATGCATCACACTGCTTTGGCTCCTCCTTGGTAGGAACTTCAGATATGCAAGGAGAAAACATAATAGATTCTCCATGGAAACCTGCACTTTAACAGTTTGCTTTTGTGCATGTTGGGGATTAATGAGCACCAGCAAGAATCCTGTTTCAACAAGGTGTTGTGAGAGATACCATGCCAAGGCCATCAACAGTATCCATGAGACTAAGAGGGTGTACCTTGCCAGAGTGCAGCTGATTTTAGTACCAGAGAGTTTTTAGGGTTTTTGCCAAAACCCCGTTTCTCCTCAGCCAGGCAAAAGTAACTGGTACAGCATCTCCCAGGTGGTCACTCCTTTGTTTTGTGGCAGTAAAATCCACTATTGCCTTTGCAAATGCTGCCCCTACTGATTCTGGCTGTGTTTGTGTTGTGGTTTAACCCCAACCAACAACTCAGCCCCAGACAGCCACTTGCTCATTGTCCCACCAGCAGGACTGGGGAGAGAATCAGAAGGGTAAAAGCTGGAAAACCCATGGGTTGAGATAAAGGCAGTTTGATAGGGAAAGGTCACACACACAAGGAAAGTAAAGCAAGAAATTCATTTTCTGCTTTCAGCCACCTGCAGGAGAGCAGGGCCCCGTCACACACAAAGGAGACTTGGGAAGACAAACACCATCACTCCAAATGTGCCCCCTTCCCTCCTTCTTCCCCCCAGTTTACTCACTGATGTCATATGGAATGTCCCTCTGGTCCGTTGGGGTCACTTGTCCTGGCTGTGTCTCCTCCCACCCTCCCATGCACCCCCAGCCCCCTCACCAGTGTGGCCATTTGAAAAACAGAGAAGGCTTTGGCTCTGTGCAAATCCTGTTCAGCAAAAACCAAAAACATCTCTGTGTTATCAGCCCTGTGTTCAGCACAAACCCAAACACAGCCCCACACCAGGCACTGAGAAGAAAGCTCACTCCACCCCAGCCAAAACCAGCACAGTTTGTKTGGTGTTTCATTTCCTTCTCTTGTGCCAGTCTGTGGAGGCTCCCATGCTGTAAATTCCAATATTGCTGTAGAGGGAAATCTCTGGCACCAAAGATCAGATGCCAAGGAGAGTGGCAAAGACARTACAAATCTTTGCTAATCTAGAGGTGCTGTGCTGAAACCAGGCAGCTTTCAGTGATTTGAAATCTTCAGTGGGTGTTGAATAATACACCTGCTCATTGATTTGTGGTCACAAACATTCTGCCCTTTCTTCTCCTCTCTATCACTCCCCTCTTTTTTAGTCCAGTTGTCTCACATCTGTCTGAGCACTTGTTTTCTTCAAGAGTTCTGGGTGCTTGACCTAGAATATATAATAATAGTAATAAATATAGTAATAATAAATGTAATATTTGGGCATAAGCATCAGTTTTATGGCTGTGACCTGTGACTCCCAGGTGTCTCCATGATCAGGGAAGTGCATGACAGAGTTGCAGCAGTGATGCTGCACCTGACAACACTG